CACTTGCCCTCTGCCAAGAGAAGATGGAAATTATTTTCTAAGACAGTAAAAGAAAATGTTTCTGGATTAAGGATTGTCAGGCACTGGTGAGATGAGGTTAAAGGATATATTTGGGATAATGAGAGGCTACTCAGACACTAGCAGCTAGTGTCTGCTTCCAGGTAGGAAAGTAAAGGCCTTTTTCCTAGAAGGTGACTAGCCTAAGGTAAGAGAGCTACAAATGCCCCACCAGGCATCTCTAAGGAAGTAGGGCCCAGCCACAACTTCTCCAGTAAGGCTACTGTTTCATAGGCACTTTCCATACCTGCAAGGCTGGTATGCTTTTAGAAACCTACTCTAACATATGATGAAGTAGGCATTCAAGGAAAGACTTTAGTAGCAGATAACAAGAAGAAGAGAAAAAAGGTATGTGCAGAAAACACAGACGGCCCTGAGTAAAGAAAAAGTTTTTAAAAAATATTTTAAAAGGTGAGGTTCTAGAAGTAAAAAGTATAAAAGTAGAATCAGAAAAATCTCTAAGGGCTGAAAGATAAAGTAGAACTCTCCCTAAAGTACAGCACACAATGATGGAAAATATGAGCAAAATGATGAGAAAATTGGAAGATGGGTCCAGGAGGTTCAACATGCAAACAGCACACCTGGAAAGAGAGAACGGGGAAAATAGAGGGGAGGAAAGCATCTAATGAAATAATTCAGTAAAGTTTTCTGAAACTGAAAGGAGTTTCTAAACTGTATGGATCTATCTATTATCCAACAAAATGGAAGAAAACAGATCCACATTCAAGTTCCAGAATCCAGAAGGCAAAAGGAAAGATCCTACATGCTGTTTTTTTCCTTAACAAGTCTTACAGAATGATTTAACTCTGTATTTATTTTTTTAATAAGAATTTGTATTTTTAAAAATTATTTACACATGACAGTACAATGATCTTGACATATCATACATTTGAATCAGATGGGGTATAATTTCTCATTTTTCTGAGTGTGATTTAACTCTTTAAATTAGACACATCTGTATCTTTTTTAACTCAGAGCACTTAGCCACTAATCCACATTCCCAGCCCTATTTTGTATTTTATTTAGACACAGGGTCTCACTGAGTTGCTCAGTGCTTCGCTTTTGCTAAGGCTGGCTTTGAACTTGCAATTCTCCTGCCTTAGCCTCCCAAACCATGGTATTACAGGCATGCGCCACTGTGCTCAGCTATGTACATATGTATTTTGATTAAAAAATAAAAAACAAAATGCAAGCAGTGGCACATGCCTATAATCCCAGCAGCTCAGGAGGTTGAGGCAGGAGGATGGAGAGTTCAAAGCCAGAAACAGCAAGGCACTAAGCACCTCAGTGAGACTCTGCCTCTAGATAAAATACAAAATAGGGCTGGGGATGTGGCTCAGTGGTCAAGTGACCTCAAGTTCAATCCTGGGTACTCCCACTCTCCCCCAAAAGCAACCTAGTACAAAAAAGAACCTGTAATACCAAGATTCTAGATAACTAAACAGGAAGTTCTGGGGGTAGGGGTCAGGCACATAAGCTCTCAGGCAATTCTAATGTGGCTATTGTGAACCATAGCATCAGATGACAGCAAGCTGCTAAATGACAGAAGATTTAGTACCAGTCCTTATATTTAAGTTTAAAATTAAAGTGAGGAATATATAAGTGGCAACTATAACCTGTCCCAAAGCAGAGTGAGTTAAGCACCTGAGAGAAGGCTTAAAGGAGGAAGAGATTTCTGGCTAGCACTGCACAGTACAGTATAGTGGATATTCAAATTTTCATTAACTAAAAATTTAAAAGTTCAGTTTCCCAGTCACATTAGTCATAATTTGAGTGCTCAAAATCCTATGAGGTGCCAGGTGCAGTGGTGCTGCAATCCTAGCACCCTGGGAGGCTGAGGCAGGAGGATTGCAAGTTCAAAGCCAGCCTCAGCAAAAAGCAAGGTGCCTAGCAACTCAATGAGACCCTGAGTCTAAATAAAATACAAAACAGGGCTGGTGAGGTGACTCAGTGGTTGAGTGCCTCTGAGTTCAATCCTCAGTTCCCCCCTACACCCCACCCCCCAAAATCCCATGAGGCAAGTAGCCATTATTCTACATAGTGAAGATAGAGAACATTTTGTCATCACAAGAGTCTAATGGACATCACTGGGCCAGAGGGACCAAAAAGGGGAAAGCATCTATAGCTAGAAGGCTGAATTATAAAGTTACCAACACAGAACTGAGCAAAAGAATGTTTTGGTCAAGATGAAGAATGTTTAAGAATCACAAAGCAGAGCGAGTGGGGCCAAAGCTTGATAACTGGATGAAGCTAAAGCTTTGAACCAACTATTCCAATTAAGAGGGGTTCTGGAATCAGGTTAGCAGGGTTCATATCCCAGCTCTCTTACAAAATGGGTGACCCTCGGCAAGTTATTCAAGCTTTCTGGGACTGTCTTTTCATCTGTAAAACAAGCATAATATTACCTATCCAGCAGGATTACTATGAGAATTACATGTAGTAACTTGTACAAAGGCTATATTACAATGCCTGTCACATGTAAGACACACAGTAAATACAAGCTATTATTATCATTACTATTCCAAATTCCAAAATGCATTGCAATAAGCTGCAAAAGTGTAATTACCTGTGTGGCTCCTCTGATGGATTGCTAAAAAGTGATTGTATTTAAAGACTTTGCCACAGTCTTTACAGCGGGCCTCAGGACCACTGGGGCGCTTTCTCCTTCCATATATCCTCTTGGCTGAAGCCTGGTCATCTTCATCCCCAACAAGTTTATAATCTTTAAGTTTGACAGACCTCCGAATCCTCCGCTTGCTGCATCTACTCTGGTGGTCCTGCCCATCCTGGGTCTTGGGATCACAGTTCTCATCTTTTTCAGTGGATATCTCCTCCATTCTACCTGGTTCACAAGCAGGGTCAGATCCTTCCTTTTCTTTTACTGGAATCTGTTCATTCAGTACACCATTGTCTCCTTCTTTAACCACAAAGTTTTGTCTATTCTGAACCGAATTGTTCACTCTTAGCTGGATTTCCTCCTCTGCAGCCTGTTCTGATTTCCCCTCCTGCAAACTATTGACTTTTCTTGGTCTTCCCCGTTTCCGTTTTGGAGGATCATTTTTCTTATTAGAAATAACAACAACTGGAGTACCAGCTCTGTTCAAAGTTGTTGGCTTTGGGGAGTTATGATTATTCTGGAAGTCTGTATAAGCCTTTATCAAGTCGTAGACTTTTAAGAACTGAGCAGTAGCCAGGATTTGTTCTGTACTTTTCTCACTAGCATGGAGATAACCTGTGTAGATAAATTCTAGCAGGATGCCAAAGGTGTCTGCAACCATGCCTTCCAGCATATAAATGGATTGGCCAATCTCCCCCTCCTCTGCAAACATCATTGAGAAATATTCGCTACTAGCAGCAAGTAAGGCTTTGTGGGCCCGGAAATGCACATTCTCCACGATTAAAGTAATGTCACAGAGAAAGCCTTTCTTTCTCTGATCCTCAAAACTGGCCAGGACAGTGTCACTGTGAGTATCTGAGTGAACAACAAGCTGTTCAGAAGGCTGTGGTGATGTTTCTGCCATTTTCTTTAGAAGTCAAGGCGGCTTAAATTTAAAATAAGAAGACAATGTTTAATAGGGAGGAAGCATTGTCTAATAATGGTTCGTATGAACCTGCATTAACCTCACATTGTTTAATGAATTTTACTACTACTTTTTTTTGCAATTAAACATATAATCATTATTTCACTTTATCATATTCAGTTATTGATGCTCAATACATAGCATAAAAACATCAGATAAGTTGACAAAGACAGATATTTAGCCTCCATCTCAGAAATATTGCACCAAAATTATCAGATAAGTAGATATAGATCTACATCCCGTATTTCAGATAAGAGGAACAAGAGGGACAGGGATGGTAATGGGAAGTGAAGGGGAGTGAAATTGATCAAACTATGTTATATGTACGAACTAATATGCCACAACAAAATACCACTAATATATTAATTAAAAATTTAGAAATAATCATTCCAGAATAGAGAAATCAATAGAAATATATTAGTGTCCGCCAGGAAGTAGTGGGGGGTTGGGGTGGATGAATGGGAACTGAGTACTACTGGAAAAAGAGGTTTGAGGGTGGTGTAGTGAGGTTTGTACAACTCTAAATGTATGAGGTATCACTGATTTGAATAAAAAGGGTAAATTTTATGGCACATTAATTATCTCAAAAAAGCTGTTATTTTTTTAAGTCTACTTAAAAACTTAGCCCTGGGTCTTATTCCCGTTGCACCTGATTATGCTAGGTGAATTTCCAACATTCTTTGAATCTCTCACATTCGCCTCTGGAAATGACGGAATAAGATCAAACATCTGTAAAGTCCTTCCCCGCACTAACTTTTATGGATGCGCAAATATCGTAGTGAGAACTACACCTGCCCTGATCTTGCACATTATCAGCTATTTTTCATCTGTGAAATATGAAAAAAAGCTAAGAAAATGTATGCGTACAAAGCGAATCTGGGAGAAGCTGCAAAGTTAAAACAACGTAAGCCACAAGGGGTCTTGCACGGAACCGCTATGTGGAAGGGCCTGGCTGGAGCCACACAGCGCTCGGCGCAGAGACCCCAGCTCCATTACCCGCGCCAGTCCCAACCCCGCAGAGCCGGGAGCGACGGCACGTGACAGCCACCGCCTCCAGGCACAGAACCGCGGGCCCGCCAGGAGGACAGCCGTCAAAGGGTCCGCGCAGCCGCGGGTTCCGCAGCTCAGGGACCGCGGGTACCCAGCGGACCTACCTCTTATGGGCGCCCGGCGCGGTCCGGGCCGCGGCCCAGCCTACCTGGAGGCCAGGCGGGGACCTCCACGCCGGCCGCCCAGGACCGGGCTTGCCCAGGCCGCAGCTAGGATTCCTGGGCCGCGGATGCTGCTTCTGCGTCGGCGCAGCCAACCCGGAAGCGCGGCGCGCGGACGCCAGACCACGTGGCCCAGGACACGCCCCTCTTCGGGCGGGGCGGGCGGCACCGCCCAGAAAGCCAGGCAGGTGTTGTAATTGTGCTTTGCGGAGTTTCTCATAGTTTTGGACCGTTAGCTCCTCACCATTGCGGTAATCAGTTTTGCCTCTTCCCAGACGCTGAATCTGGCATTAAGGGCGCGAATGTGTGATAAATGACCGAAATCGCCTCTACCTTTCATTCCTGTCGTAGTCGTCATCGTCATCATCATCATCATCATCTAATTCTATATTATAACTATTATTTACCTGCTAGATGTTTTTCACATCTGCCTCCCTTTCCTCCCCACTTCCAACGCTGTAGTCCAAGGGAGCGAAGATAGCACTCTAGTCCAACAGACCTGGGTTCTGAGAGACCTGGACAAGTTACTTTTCTTAAAATGGAGATATTAACACTAGTGCCCCGTTGGTAAGATTGGCATGATGTTAGCAAGAACAAGTATATAGTGGGCTCAGTAAAAGCCTGGTTTAATTCACGGTTGCTGAGACTAAAAATATTATTATTTGAACTTTCATCATCTCTCTTCAGTAGACTGTTAAAGGTTTCTACATAGTCTTGGTTGCAGTGTGGTTCCCTGTAAGACACAGGCATTTGGGAGGTGTCTCCAAGTATAAATCACAGGCAGAAACTAGAGTCACACCCCCCTTTAGATTCCACTGTGGCTCCCATATGCCCTCTGGATAAAGCGTAAGCTCTTGATATAAAGCTTAAGCTCTTGATACAAGCCCAGCTCAAGTCCATTTCCACCCCCTCTTCCAATGATTTATTTCAGCATTTTCCCTCTTGATTCATGCTTTATTAATACCGAATTACTTATTTATTTTCCCCTCCACTTCCAGATCTCCAGCATGCCATCTACAGCCTTCATGATTTTGAAGCTGAAGATGTAATTACCAGTCTCTTAAATGTTACTAGTTTTTCTTAAAATTGGTTTAAGCCACACATTACCTCTAAGTCCTCCAGATTTGTAGGGGTCCAAATGGGATAGTGGGAGCTCTCCCTGACTTCTGCATGCTAGCAGAGCAGAGGTCAGTACAAGACTTGGCTGCTCCATTGTTTTTTGCTGCCACAGTATTGCAATAAAAATGGTGCAGTAAAAACTGTGGGCATCTACAAATTAGGTGTAGTAAACAAACTAGATAAAAATTTTAAATGAGAATACCATTTAAATGTATCTGTAATGCTATGTTTTAAGGGTAAGATATTGATTACCTTTAGATTTTGTGTATTCTTGTTAAAAGAGTAGGATAGCTTCTCAATGGATGGAAACAGAATGCATAACTTTGACAAGTGTAGATAAATGTAATCAATCCAAAAGAAAGGAAAAGAAAAGGATAGAGAAGATGTTAAAAAGGTAGAAAGGCTTAGGTCACGTAAAGTCTTTTATGCCAAGAATAAGAAGGCTGGATTTTACTTTAATTGAAATGGGGACCAATGGAAGATCTCATAAAGACTGGTGAAAACTGATTTATGTATTTAAGGACTACTCCAGCTGCAGGAGGAAGAGTAGATCCTAGAGGGACTTGGGAACAGACACAGGGATTAGGGTGAACAGTGCAAGATGTGAAAAAGCCCATATTCAAGGTATTTGGTGGTGTGGGATGGGGTTTGACAGGATTTGCTGAGAAAGTCAATTGAAGGAGTGAGGGAAAGAATGTAATCAAGATTGACCCTGGGTTTGGGGCCAGATCATTTGTACAGTGTTACCATTCATTTATCTGGAGGAAGAAGATTTGGATTGGGTAACAAGTAGAAGATGGACCTATTAATTAAATTTGAGATGTCAACTAGATAGCCATATTTGACATACAATATGAATTAAAGAATCAGGATTCAGTGCTGAGAATGGAATTGGGGATAAAATTTTTTTTAGATGTTGATGAACCTTTATTTTATTTATTTATTT